CATCCCTTTTAGGGTTAAGGAACTGATTAAGCTCTTGCCTTTCGGGCCGGCAGTATAAAATTCACATGGGCCCAACATCAACAAAAAAACGTGCAAGTTCCCCCCCCCACCAAGACCCAAAACCCGAAACCCCAAACCCAAAACCCTAAACCCTAACCCCAAGCTTTTGATGCGTCAGACGATCCGCCTGCGCATTCTCCGTGAGGGTGCGCATCTCATCAGGGCCAAGCTCCAGAGCCTCTTTAGGGTTAAGGGTTTCGGGTTTAGGGTATTAGAACCCCCCCAAAAAACCTACCTCTTGTAGTGTATTGCTATCATACCCCCCCCCCCCCCCCCTGTAGGATTCTTAGGTGACCCGCAAGAGAGTAGGCTGTGGGTTCTTCAGCCGTGGGCAAAAGGAAGCGCCCTAAACCCTAAAACCCTATACCCAACATATCCATTCCTAAAGCGGATCCCCAAGGGGTCATCGAACGAAGCTACCTCTCGACCGAGCTACGCTCGACCTTTCCTCGCTCGAGACCCAACTCTGCCACTCTCTTCCAAGACAACATGTTTGGTTCTCAAAATGGAACCTAAATCCTATAAGTCCTAAACCCTAAATCCTGGAAGCCCGGAACCCTGTACCAAACGGGGTTTGGTTAGAAGGGATTACGAAACACTCAACATTAACCCTCAACCCTAACCCTAACCCTAAACCCTAACCCTAAACTCCAAACCCTCCACCAAACGGGGTTGAGGGTTATTAGGGTATTTCCGGGAAGTGTTTGATGGGGTCGAGGATGAAGGGATTACGAAACCAAAACCCTAACCCTAAACCCTAAATCCCAAACCCCAAACCCCAACCCCCCCCCCCCACCCCCAACCCCAAACCCTAAACCCCAAACCCCAACCCCCAAACCCAAACCCCAAACCCCAACCCCAAACCCTAAACCCCAAAACCCTAAACCCCAAACCCCAAAACAATAAACCCCAAAAACCCCAAACCCCAAACCCTAACCCCCAACCCAAACCCCAACCCCCACACCCCCAACCCAAACCCTAAACCAAAACCCAAAACCCCAAAACCTAAACCCCAAACACTAAACCCCACCCCAAACCCTAAACCCTAAACCCCAAACCCCAAAACCCAAACCCAAACCTAACCCCCAAACCTAAACCCCACACCCCAAACCCCAAACCCTAACCCCAAACCCAAACCCTAACCCTAAACCCCAAACCCCAAACCCTAAACCCCAAAGCCTAAACCCCCAAAGCCCCAAACCCCAAACCCCAACCCCCAAACCCTAAACCCAAACCCCAAACCCCAAACCCCGAACCCCAACCCCCTCACCCAACCCCAACCCCAAACCCTAAACCCAAACCCCAAACCCAAAACCCCCCAACCCCAACCCCAACCCCACCCCAAACCCCAAAACCCCAACCCCCACCCTAAACCCCAACCCCTAAACCCCTAAACCCCAGATCCCCTAAACCCTAAACCTAAACCCAAACCCCAAACCCAACCCTAAACCCCCCTAAACCCCCCTAAACCCTAAACCCCAACCCAAACCCAAAACCCCCCAAACCCAAACCCTAAACCCAACCCAAACCCCAAACCCCAACCCCCAAACCCTAATCCCTAAACCCCAACCCCTAAACCCCAAACCCTAAACCCTAAACCCCAAACCCTAAACCCTAAACCCCAAACCCCAAACCCTAAACCCTAAACCCCAAACCCTAAACCCTAAACCCCAGACCCCCAAGGGGATATCGCCAGGGCCTCGCCCAGGTCTTGGCTGTGCTCGGCCACCTCCTGGTGAGACCCGCCGAATGGGGATATATGTATATATATATATATATATGGGTGGCTGTCAATATTCCTTCTTCCAGGAACGGCGGATGCTGAAAAAATCATGGTGCCGCCTTAGGACGAGAAGGAAAACGAAGGTCTGGAACGATGGCTTTGGCAAGTACAGAAGTGTAGTACCAATTCTTGCTCCCTATGCAAAAACCTCGCAAAACACACTAGCGCCGCCATTTTAAGACTCAGGCATCGTCATCGGCACTGTTGGAGCTACTTGAGCTCGAGCTAGTAGTGCTTTGCTCTTCCAGGTTGGCCATGTTTCAAATCAGCTGTCTTAGTACTGCTTTATGTATTGGATGGGCAAGTGGCCACCGCAAGCAGTTTCCCTTCATATTTGCAAGGGCGATGCTAGCGCCAACCTAGCGCATATTTCGCTGCATGACTTTAGAATTTTGGCACGCCGGCAGTATGCATCAGGAGCAACCACAGGGTTTAGGGTGTAGGGTTCAGGGCGTGTAACCCAATGTTCCACCGTGTAACCTAAGCCGCAGGCCGCCTATACTACTTAAGCTTCCAGAAGCTGGATCGCTCTAAACCCTAAACCCTACACGCTAAACCCTAAAATGTTAGCCTTTGGAAAGGAACACCTAGCGCCACGCTAGCGCTATCCTAACGCCTACATGGGGAAGAGCTTGAAACCTGCATATACGCATGGTGCCGCCTTGTGGCGAAGACATAAACCAGCAAGAGCGGAACTTCATATCGCACTTCCATCATATTTTGCATACATGGTATTTTGACGTCCGCCCATATATATATATATATATATATATATATTTATTTATTTATTTTTTATTTAATTTATTGATTTATTTATTCTTATTGGGGGGGTTGGGGTTTGGGGTTTAGGGTTTTAGGGTTTAGGGTTTAAGGGATGTTGTGGGGTTTAGGGTTTTCGGGTCTTAGGGGTTTTTTCAGGGCTTTAGGGTTCTGGGGTTTCATGAAGGGTTTGAGGGATGGTTTGAGGGTCAGCACACCCAAACACAGCCGGACTCCTGCGGGTCACTGGCCTGCTAGACCCCAAACCCTAAACCCTAAACCCCAAACCCTAAACCCGAAACCCTAGAATCCAAATATAGCTCGCAGCTTTCCGGACCTTGTCCTCCCTGTTACAGCAAGACGAATTTCAAGCCGAGCTCCGCAATCCCCCTGGTTCTTAGTAGGGTTAGGGTTTAGGGTTTAGGGTTTAGGGTTTAGGGTTTAGGGTTTAGGGTTTAGGGTTTAGGGTTTAGGGTTTAGGGTTTAGGGTTTAGGGTTTAGGGTTTAGGGTTTAGGGTTTAGGGTTTAGGGTTTAGGGCTAGGGAATGATGGAATGAGGGCCCTACATATACCCTTGAAGGGATTATATAGGGCCCTCATTCCCTCGTTCCCTACTAAGCACCAGCCAGTCATCCCACTGTCAGGCCTCCAGAAAGACTGCTCCCTGGTCTTGGCCTTGTGAGCTGACTCACTGACTCACTCCGGAACAATCTCCACCCGCAACGTGTCTGGAGCTCTTTCGCAAGGAGTCTCTTCGGGAGTCTCTTCGTGACATGGTGCGCCGAGTAAGATTTGTGAGAGTGATTTGCGAGTTTGCGCCGTCCCAAGAGGCAGCAGACTTGGAGAGCCGAGGGGCACCAAGCAACCACATCTGCCCTCCGCGACGTCAAGCCCAAGGCATCCTGAAGGAACAGCACCAACAAGCACCTAAAAGGCCATAAGCCGAAAAGGACCATCCATATCCCAAAAGCCTGCCCTGGCAAGAAACAGCCCTCGCGCCCTGTAAACAACCCGAACCCATGCGAAGACTCTATACTACTACTATTTGCGATTAAGAACCCCCAAAAGATGTGTTTTAAAAGCATGAAAATCCCTATATTGCGCTTGTAAGGAAGATTTGCTTTATTTGTAGTTTTTGGGGGTTCTTAAGCAATTAGTAGTTAACCGGCTTCGATGCGGACAAAAGGCCAACCACTGGTACAGGCCATCCAATGGGCTCGCTTCGCCGTCCTCGTCGCAGCACACGGGGCGGGGGGGGGGGGGGGGGGGCGAGTTTAGGGTTTAGGGTTTCGTGTTTAGGGTTTAGGGCTCAGGGTTTAGGGTTTAGGGCCGCAAAGAACTCGATGCCGCTCTTAACCACTCTTGCGCATGCACGTTGACATGGACGAAGGGACGCACCAAGCAAACACAGCTGCCTCGATCAGCTTTGCCATGGGTGGCGATCAAGGGCCATCGAAAAGCGGTCCCGTCGGGGAGGTCAGAAATAAGGTTCTCCCTAAGGCCTAAACCCTAAACCCTAAACCCTAAAACCCTAAACCCTAAACCTATAAGCCCTAAACCCTAAACACAAGATAAACCCTGAACCCTGAGATTTCTCAGACTTGGGAGAGGGTTGAGACAGGCTGAGGCTCTTGTTTGGGCAAATTGGGGGGGGGCTCTTCGTGTAGGGCTGGCGGGTCACAGCCGGGCCAACCCCCCACCTCCCTCACTCTCAAGCCTGCGCAGCTCATGGTGTTCAGCCGGGCATGACAGGCGCTTCGCCCCCAGACCCTAAACCCTAGCCCTAAACCCTAAACCCTAAACCCTAAACCCTAAACCCTAAACCCTAAACCCTGAAGGGAGCCCAGGGGGGTGGAAGGGACTGAGGGTATCAGGGCCCCCATATTCCACCAATGAGGTCTTAATCATCCCCAGTAAAATTAAGGCTTAAGAAGCCCCATTAAGGGGAGATGGCTCCCTTACACCCCCCCACCCCTCCCTTCCACCCCCTTGGTTCCTTATGATGCAGGTGAACCCTAATTAAACCCTAAACCCTAAACCCTAAACCCTAAACCCTAAACCCTAAACCCTAAACCCTAAACCCTAAACCCTAAACCCTAAACCCTAAATCTCATTTTCTCTCTGCCTCCCACGAGGTTCAAAAGGCGCTTTGGCCGGAAGGCTTCGTCATGGACTCCCTCGGGGCCCTCAGATTCTTAAGGTCCAACTGCAAAGGGGCTTAGGGTTTAGGGTTTAGGGCTTAGGGTTTAGGGTTTAGGGTTTAGGGTTTAGGGTTTAGGGTGGCAAAAATGCATAAGGATGCGTTCCACGTCCAAGCCGCACCACCCAGGACTAGGGGGACGGCGCAGGGGATGTCACCTCCACATTAAAGCAGTGCAACAGGGGAGCTTCCTCAAGGCTACCGGATACATTGAACATGCCCAGACATGCTGCGTTGATGCACTTCACCCTTTTTCGACTCAGCGCTGGATGCGGCCCTTGATGCACCAAGCCTCGGCGCAGGGCGCAGCATGGCTCTGCCAAACATTACATCAAATGAAATTCTACTAATTGCTTAAGAACCCCCCCCCCCCAAACAAATATATTCTTCCTTATAAGGGTAGTATAGGGTATTCTTTTGGGGGTGTTCTTGGGCAAATGTAGAATTCCAGCCACGATTGCACAAACAAAGAGCATGACAAGCACCAAGCTGCTGCTTTCTCAGAGGGCTTTGATGCTGATGTTGTGCGACTGCCTCCTCGACAGACCCACCCTCGACCGTTGCTCGGCTTCAAGGGCTTCGCAAGGCTACACCGCTGTGTGCCCTTTCCTTGGGGACCAATGAGAAAGCCTAAAATTGGGGTCATATCTACCCTAAACTACTACAACCCCTATTGAGGTACATGAACCCTAAACCCTTTTAGGGTTCATAATTGGTCCCCAAGGTTGTCCCTGTGTCGCAGGACCGTCGCCTGCCTCAAACATCTGCCGGAAGGCCAAATCAATACCTGAGCTAAGCAGCGATTTCGCTTATTGTGGTCGAAATTTGGGTCATATATACCCTACACTACTACAACCCCTATTATTCAAGGAATATGAACCATAAACCCTTTTAGGGCTTATATACCCTATACTACTACAACCCCTAGTAGTTTAAGGTATATGAACCATAAACCCGTTTAAGGTTGATAGTGGATACGGGACATGGCTGGACCACGGGAGCAGGCAAGCAACGCATCAGGTTCTGCTCGAACCATGCCTCGTCGTACTCACCTCAATGAAGGATTCTTGCGCCCCCTAAACCCTAACTCCTGACCCTAAACCCTAAATCCTAAACCCTGATCTCAGTTGCCGGCTGTGAAAGTCCCGCAGCCATCGGAAAAAGAGCCCTTCACGGTCCTCGGCCTCTCTGGCGTGCGCCTGTTGAATTCTTCAAGGTGGAAGGGTTTAGGTTTTTTTAGGGTTTAGGGTTTAGGAGTTGGGGTTTAGGGTTTAGGGCTGAGGAAGGGCTTGGACGCCACTCCCTGGAACCGAAGGTGCAGCAAAGGCCTGGGTATCCAGGAACCTGAGGACATGCTGGCGGACCTGAGCCATCTAGCTCCGACGCCTCGAGCCGGAAAGAACCGCTCTTTCTGTGAAGTATGGTAGGGTTTACAGGGGCTTAGGAGGTTGGCTTTATTGGCTTTGCTAGGGCCGTAAACCCTAAACCCTAAACCCTGAACCCTAAACCCTAAACCCTAAACCCTAAACCCTAAACCCTAAACCCCTAAACCCAGTTGCTTTGGCAGCCTTTGAACCACGATTTCTTTGCCAGGAGACCACCTGGGCGCTGTGGAAGTCGGCCTCGCTGCGCAGGGCGGCCTGCCAGGGCTTAGGGTTTAGGGTTTAGGGTTTAGGGTTTAGGGTTTAGGGTTTAGGGTTTAGGGTTTAGGGTTTAGGGTTTCGGGTTTCGGGTTTATCGGGTTTTGGGTTTAGGGTTTGTCACATGCTCCGCGCGCATCGCGCAGCGCGCACCACCACGCGGGACGTGCATTGTGGTGTGCGCCAGGGTTCATGTCCACTCCAACCCGCCCACCCAACCTATGACCTTGGTCGGAACCCTGAACTTATTTGTTGGCTCTCCTCTCAAATGGTTCGGAAGTCAAAGGCTGCGACTTGTCGGGAAGAGGGCGGTTTAGGGTTTAGGGTTTAGGGTTCAGGGTTCAGGGCTTAGGGCCCAGAACCTACTTCTTTGTAGACTATTAACGACAAACCCCTTTTACAGGATTCTTAGGTAAGCTACTTTTCTGTAGGTGTTGGGTTCTTGAGGTACTGTTTGAAGTTTAGGGTTTAAAGCTGCAAGTGCATGGAGGCTCCTCCCTGCGCCCCGGGCAGCACTTGCAAGATCTGAAAGTCACCCTAAACCCTAAACCCTAAACCCTAATCCCCCAAAAGTCCTCAACCCTCGACTGCCTTTTCAGAACTCTCTTTGGGCTTCCGAAATTCCGAAAGTCGCAGAAAGCGCGGTTTCCCTAATTAAACCCTAAACCCTAACCCTAAACCCTAAACCCTAAACCCTAAACCCTAAACCCTAAACCTTAAACCCTAAACCCTAAACCCTAAACCCTAAACGCCGCAGCGCCGCCTCGGCACCATCTTCCTTCTTTTGCAGAGCCGCACGCCGCAGCGCCGCCTTTGACGGGGCTTGGTAAAGGCAGCTTCTGGGCCGAGACAAAAATCCGCAAGGAAGCAGAACAGAAGAGAGTTTAGGGTTTAGGGTTTAGGGTTTAGGGTTTATAAACATTCACTGAAACCTTTTTTGGAACCTTCAGGGACCACGGAAGACAAGTGAGCTCTCCTCTCGCTTGGCCTCTTTCTCGTCTGCGGCTTCGGCCTGCTGCAACCTTGGGCCGAATGAGAACTTAGGGTTTAGGGTTAGGGTTTAGGGTTTAGGGTTTAGGGTTTAGGGTTTAGGGTTTAGGGTTTAGGGTTTAGGGTTTAGGGTTTAGGGTTTAGGGTTTAGGGTTTAGGGTTTAGGGTTTAGGGTTTAGGTGCGCAATGCTTGTAAACCACAGGTATCCGTGCCGTGGGGACCAACATGAACCCTATGATTGGGGTGAGAAATCCTATACTACTCTACTCCCTATGAAGATATATGGACCATAAACCCCCTCAACTCAACCCCAAACCCTAAACCCTAAACCCTAAACCCTAAACCCTAAACCCTAAACCCTACACCCTAAACCCTGAACCCCCATGTCTGAGGATTCTGCAAGATCTCGCTCTGCTTTGCCAGCCAGCTGCCGAATCTGCCGAACTGGGCCTGTCAGCTGCTAGGGTTTAGGGTTTAGGGTTTAGGGTTTAGGGTTTAGGGTTTAGGGTTTAGGGTTTAGGGTTTAGGGTTTAGGGTTTAGGGTTTAGGGTTTAGGGTTTAGGGTTTAGGGTTTAGGGTTTCGCGCAAAACAGGATCCAAACATGCAATCCCGGGCACATGGATCTTCTGGCTCTGGGAGGCGGTCTTGCCGGCGTCGTCCTCATGGATAGCACAGTGCGCACAAACCTCCAGCTGATGCCCTTTTGGTGTTTGGGGTTTAGGGTTGAGGGTTTAGGGTTTAGGGTGTTAGGGTGTAGGGTATCCTTTGGGCAGTTTCCAAAATAGGGGTAGCCCATTTATACCTCAAATAAAGTAGAACCCTCTTCAAGGGACTCTTAAATAGGGTACCCTTAGTTTCGGGAACCCACCATTTCTTACAAACTGGTGCCAGATAAGTCACCCTGAGCATCCTGCCCTAAACCAAGGGAGAGGCCAAATGAACCCGAAGAGTGTTCATGGCTTCATATATATATATATATATACACCTTCATGGGAATGAGAAGCATAGGGTCCATAGCACCCCAATAGGAGTTGTGAAAGCACCATGGGTATATGACCCCAATATTGTCGGGCTCAAACTTGATGCCCAAGGCATGCCTGCTTGGTGCGGCGCCGCTGCACGGCGCGCAGCGAAAGCAGCCTTGCCTGCCCAGGCTGTTGAACGGCACGCTGGGGATCGCACTTCCTATACTCTTCAATGGAGCATAGGATCACAAACTCGCAGCCCTAAATCCTAAACCCTAAACCCTAAACCCTACACCCTAAACCCTAAACCCTAAACCCTAAAGCCTAAACCCTAAACCCTAAACCCTAAACCCTAGCCCTAAACCCTCGAGCCTCGGCCTGCTCCAGGGCTCCGCGGAGCGCCTGGGCCGAGTGCGCTCTCGAGAGGCTCCCATCTCAAAGAAAGGATCCAGGGTTTAGGGTTTAGGGTTTAGGGTTTAGGGTTTAGGGTTTAGGGTCCAAAAGGATCAAGGGCTCAGGGTTTAGGAGTTTCAGGGTTTTAGGGTATAGGGCCTACAGGGTTTAGGGCTTACAGGGCTTTCAGGCTTTATAGGGCTCAAAAAGTTTGAGGGCTGTACTTTTGGTTTTGGGGGCACATGCCTGGACGGTTTCTTCCGCGGTGGCGATCTCCCTCTCCAGCTCATTCGGAGAGAACTCCTGCAGCGAGCAGAGGAAAACTGTCGAAGCCAGCGAGACAGATCCGCATAGGCATATAGCAATATGCTCTTAATGTAGTATTCTAGTATTCTAGTATTCTAGTATTCTAGTATTCTAGTATTCTAGTATTCTAGTATTCTAGTATTCTAGTATTTAGCATTATAGTATCATAGTATTATAATAATATAGTATTATAGCATTATAGTATTATAGTACTATAGCATTATATATAGTATTATAGTATCTTGGGATTATAGCAATATAGTATTATAGTGTTATAGTATTATAGTAGTATAGTATTCTAGTGTTATAGTATTGTAGTATTATAGTGTTAAAATTATAGTACTAGAGTATAAAAGTGTTATAGTATTATAGTATTATCGTATTATAGTATTATAGTATTATAGTATTATAGGAAAATAGTACTAATGGAGTGATATAGCAATATAGTGTTTTCTAATACAACAATATAGTACTACAGTCATATAGTAGCAAAAGTAGCATAGCATAAGGTGGGCTTCCAGTTCAGTTCTGGGATCAATGTGCAGCCCTTCACAGCCTCGGGTGCTCGGCCGCCGTCGCCCGGAAGCGCCATGAGCGCGGATCTCTTCGCTGCAGAATGCTTGTATAGGGTTTAGGGTTTAGGGTTAGGGTTTAGGGTCTAGGGTCTAGGGTCTAGGGTCTAGGGTCTAGGGTTTAGGGTTTAGGGTTTAGGGTTTAGGGTTTAGGGTTTAGGATTTAGGGTTTAGGGTTTAGGGTTTAGGGTTTAGGGTTTAGGGTTTAGGGTTTAGGGTTTAGGGTTTAGGGGCAAAAGACTGTGGTGCTCCTCTGCGTCTCTGGGATACACCAACCTATGCCAACTGAAGCAAGAGCGCAAAGCCCAACACCTCTCGAGTCAACTTGCGAGAAACAGAACGCGCTGCCCCTAGAATTGAGCTGCGGAGCGCGCGACGGCAGAAAGCACAAAGACACGTCAAACGAAGAAGATGCCCGCACTCCGCCGCCTCATGACAGCCTCCGTCAGAGAGCATTCTGTAGGTCCTAGTCATAGCCGTAAATGGAGTGCAAGACTTGCTACAGTATCATCACGGATCAATGCTCTCGTGCCTAACGGCCTGGAGAACTCACAGAACGAACAGAGTTGGATGGGAAGAGAGAGAGGGAGAGAGAGAAAAACAAAAAAAAAACTGAGAGAGAGCGCAACTGAAAGAGACTGAGAGAGAGAGAGAGAGAGAGAGAGAGAGGGGAGGGAGGGAGGGGGAGGGAGGGAGGGCAGGAGGGAGGGAGGGCGGGAGGGAGGAAGGGCTGGAGGGAGGGAGGAAAGCATGAGAAAGGGAGAGAGGGCAGAACAGGGAAGAAGACAAGAAAGGAAGGGAAGCAGGTGGAGGGAGGGAAGCACGGGGAGGGAGGGAGGGAGCAGGAGCGGAAGTGTGCGAGGCCCGAAGGACTGGATTGGATGACAACTTCGTGTTCATCGTCACAACCCCCTGCAACAGAAAGAAAGCTCCAGCCAGGAATGCGCTTAGGGTTTTTGGGTTTAGGGTTTAGGGTTTAGGGTTTAGGGTTTTTTGCAGGGTGCGCCTAGTAGTGGCCGAGACCGGCGCCAGAACAGGGCACAGACCCATTGCGCACGAAAGCATCACGAAGGCATTCCGACATTAGGGGTACCTTCTTGGGGTCCTGAGTATAAGAGAATCCGACTAGTTTGGGGGTAGGAGTCTATAAAGGGGGGTCCCTGATACTCGTAAACCCCCATATGTTGACAAGCCCCTCAATGCGGCTTGAAGGCCTGAAGACTGCAGAATAGACCCGCTTTCTTGTGTTCAGGCTGTCGTTGTCCCTTCCAGGATGGGGTCTTATACCTTATAATCCCGTAAAAAAAGGCCCTTTATGATTAGACCCTATAATCCCTTAAAAGGCCCTTTATGATTATACCTTCTAATCCCTTAAAAAAGGCCCTTTATGGGGTTGATTCTGGGGATTCTAAGGGCCGAACAGCCTGGTTCTGAAGAGGGGAGTCGAGGTGCCGAGAAGCTGCAAGCCGAAGCCAATGCGAGCTGTTGAAGGACAGGCGCCCGCTGTCATCCGCACTCCGATACCATGGGCTGTTATACCCTATAACCCCTTAAAAAGGCCCTATATATATATATATATATATATTTGGTATATATATATAGGGTTGGTTAGGGGGATTATACGGCCTAATAGCCCATGCTGGCAAGAGAACTCGCAGAGAGCCTTGAGCGCCCTTTTGTTCTTCGACTGGAAACCAAGCGCATCTCGCGATGCTGCAGCCTTGTGCTGCTCTTTCGGGTCGCGGCCACTGGTAATCCTTCAATGACCTGGGACCCTCTTAACCGACAGTTTTTTTGGGTTGTCGCCTTCTACTAATGGGTAGTATGGGTTACACCTACGAATTCAGGGGTAGTTACCTACTAAACTGTAGGTAAGTAGAGTTCCCGGGAGTCCGAAGGAAAGCTGGGCGGCGATGGCAAGCCTAAGTTGTGCGCCTGCGTGCCGGTGCGGCGGAAGGGCCCCTCGGAGTCGGCAAGTCTTGGCATACATACACGCTATATACGTATATATATTATGTATATATATATATCCATATTTTTGTAGCCCATAGAAAATGTAAAACACACAGATTACGTCTTACCCTTCCCCCCCAACTCTTTGAGTTCGAGGCGATCTCAAAGGTCTCGAAAGGACTCCTCTGTCTCCTCTGGGTTCAGGAGGGCGTACACGGACGGGCCAAGCCTCAGGTTTAGGCTTTAGGGTGTAGGGTGTAGGGTTCGTTTGGCACCCAAGGATGAAACCCAGCTTCTGTCCGACATCCTTTTTTTGTCCGATGGTTGTGCGGACCTCAGAATTGGTTGAATAGATGAACTACAAAAAGGGCACGAGTTCGTTGTGGGGGAAGTACTTACTTGGCTCATGAGCGCAGTTGCGCCGCGGGCTCATGCAACATGCGATGCACTGGCCGACTCTTTATGAGGGATCCGTCGAAAGTACTCTAGCATACATGGCTCAGATGCGACAAGCGTCTTGCATGGTCCTAAACCCTAACACTAAACCCTAAACCCTAAACCCTAATTACTAAACCCTAAACCCTATAAACCCTAAACCCTATAAACCCTAAACCCTAAACCCTAAACCCTAAACCCGAGAGCCTGAAGCTGAGTGGGGGGCGAGCTCGTCAAGATGAGAAGCGAGGCAAGGATGGCCCTTGGAGGGCAAAAACTGAAGCAGACCCTAAACCCTAGCCCTAAACCCTAGCCCTAAACCCTAAACCCTGAACCCTGAGCCCCAAACCCTAAACCCTAAACCCTAAACCCTAAACCCCTAACTCCAAACTGGGGAAGTTCTGAGAGGAAGGCGTAAGGCCTGGACTGGGGGCCGAGCTTCTCCTCTTCTGGAAGGCAGGGCAGTTGTGTCAAGTGAAGTCTCTCTGACTTAGGGTTTAGGGTTTAGGGTTTAGGGTTTAGGGTTTAGGGTTTAGGGTTTAGGGTTTAGGGTTTAGGGTTTAGGGTTTCTCTGCATGGGGCGTTTCTCTGGGTCACTCTCTGACAGTTGTCTCACTGTGCGCCCAGATGCAGAATTTGCAGCTTTTTTTGCACCCAGATGTCGAGAGCGGATTTTTTCTTCCTTAGGGCTCTCAAGCCACCGTCCTGCAGGAACACCACGGACAGGAGCGTCCCCCACAGTGGGATGGTGCAATAGATCAGAGATGCAATGGCCTAGGATACTTCGCAGCAGTGGGATGGGGGGTGGGGGGGGGGGCCCACAACTTCAGGTTGGAAACAGCCTGATGAAGCAAAAAAAACACACCCCTTCAATAGCCTAAAACCCTAAACTCCGTATCATGTTGAGAAAAGAAGCGTGCCCTATACGTACGAGTCGGTGCCTTCCTTTGGGAGTTACATCTTCGCGGATTCGAGCCTTCAGAGTTTGATGCCACGTACATCGAGGTGGGCCCATGATTGAGAAGCCGCTGAGGGTCGAAAGCACACCAGTATGGCATGGAAACCCTCCCCCCCGTCAGTTGTCAAAGACATGTAGAACATTTGGCATCCCTAAACCCCAAACCCTAAACCCTAAACCCTAAACCCTGAACCCCAAACCCTAAACCCGAAACCCTAACCCCAAACCTTAAACCCTGAACCTTAATAACTAATAACAGAAAACATAATTTTGCACGCAAGTCGCCGGCCCAACGAACTTGAAGGCAAAGAGCTCGACCACTGCTGGCAGTCCTATCGGCTTTATAGGGGCGCTGTTTAGGGTTTAGGGGTTACGCTGTTTAGGGTTTAGGGTTTAGGGGTACCCTGTTTGCTAAGTTGTCTCCTCTGTTCCTTCTACACTTCTGTTGCGTGCGATGTGCCATGTGACTATCGACTCGCTGTCCTGTGCACAGCAGGCCGCAAGCCACGATCTGCGCCCAGATGGCAGGTGAGAGTCCTTAACTCTGCCTTAAGAACCCAAAACCTACATGTTTGTAGGTTATTACTACAAGAGCCCTTATAGGATTCTTAGGTAACCTACTTTTTTTGTAGGATTGGGGTATTCAACACTTCAATTCTGCCTCCCTGCGGTTAGTCGGGTTTAGGGTTTCGGGGGTTTAGGGTTTGTGGTTTAAGGTTTAAGGTCTGGGAATGCCAAATGTTCTTTATGTGTGACACCCAGCTCACAACAGCCCTGCCACATAGTTTTCGTGCACTCTGCTTTGAAGCAGTGTCGCGTGATGGCTTATAACCTAAACCCTAAACCCTAAACCCTAAACCCTAAACCCTAAACCCTAAACCCTAAACCCTATTGCAATCCAGGAACGCTCGGCAACTGACAGCTGCTCTCCCGTGGTGTAGGGACCTCCGATCTTGTCTTGGTGGATGCATCGGAGACGTAGAGTTTAGGGTTTAGGGTTTAGGGTTTAGGGTTTAGGGTTTAGGGTTTAGGGTTTAGGGTTTAGGGTTTAGGGTTTAGGTTGCTTCGCTTTGCTAGAGGCGATCCGGGCGGCTGTCGAAGCTGCTCGCCACGACGCATATCACGGCTGCGGCAACAAGCTGAACCTGCGCAGCTGAGTGCTACCAAGGGTTTAGGGTTTAGGGTTCTTGTGGTATATCGCTCGCCGAGCATGAAGAGGGCAGCATAGGAACCGCAGAAAACGTATACAGTATAGGACGGGACAGGATGCTTGGAGAAGCAATAAGCTGCGACCAAGTTGCTGCCGCAAGCCCCACCGCAAAATCATCGCCCCGCGCGTCGTCCGACCCTGACAGGGGCCGTCTGGCCGAGACAGCACTGAGAATTAGGGTTTGGGGTTTAAGATTTAAGGGTTAAGGGGGTTAAGGGTTGGGTTAAGGGTTTAGGCTGACTGCTTCTCAATCACGCCCCGTTTTGGTCCTTCGCCCTCTTCGGCTTGCTGGGTCTCGCTTTGGCCGATGATCCGGTTGCTGCGGTAGACGTGGACGGCGAAGAAGAAGGTGCCTCTGGGATTAAAGCAGAACACAAATTATCCAAGCCCCATCTTTTTAAGGTCTCTTAAGAAGGCTCCCGGCCTAGAATTGCCAGGAGCTCCCCTGGAACATCTTTCAGCAAAGCCTGCCGAAGGCATCATGTCGCTCATACAAAAGACCCGCCTCATAGGGTTTAGGCCTTAGGTTTTTTTTTTAACAACCCTTCACTCCTTTTCGGGCAGGCCTTAGGTTTAGGGTTTAGGGTTTAGGGTTTAGGGTTTAGGGTTTAGGGTTTAGGGTTTAGGGTTCATTTCCGTTAGAAATTACAGTACTGCGGGTATATGACCCCACTATGAACTTAGAGGATTATCTGAACAAAAAGCTTCCCTAAACCCTAAACCCTATAAACCCTAAACCCTAAACCCTATAAACCCTAAACCCTCGACCCGAATCCCTGAACCCTAAACCCTAAACCCTAAACCGCCCGGGGCCTCATGCGGCATCGGCGCAGGAGGCTCCACAATGGACAGGAAGTTGAAGAGTCGCTCGAAGACAGCTCTGAGAGGTGGAACCTGGCCAGTAGGTTTAGGGTTTAGGGTTTAGGGTTTAGGGCTTAGAGGGGTGGAACCTGGCCAGTAGTAAGGAATGCCGCTTCCTCCTCCATTACAACCACCTAGCGTTAGGGTTTAGGGTTTAGGGTTTCGGGTTTTTAGGGTTTAGGGGTTTAGGGGTTTAAGGTCTAGAACCCAAGGGTGCGGAAAGCCCTTCCTTATATTCTCCTCGTTAGAGGTTAAGGAACCAAAACACCCCACACCCGGAGCCCTAAAACCTCTAAAACCCTTAAACCGTACAAACCCTGTTAACCCTATACTACGCTCCTACATACGCTACTTCCCTAAACGCTAAACCCTAAACCTAAACCCTAAACCCTATACCCTATACTCTATTAGGAGTCTTCCGCATCTCTGGTGCGCCGCACCGGCGTTGCCAGGCTGGGCGCCGAAACGAAAAGCGCCAAGCCTGGAGAGAGAAAAGAGAAAGCTGGGTTTAGTGTTTAGGGGTTAGGGGTTTAGGGTTTAGGGTTGAGGGGTTGAGGGGTTTAGGGTTCAGGGCAGTTGGAGGGACAGTCGTACGCTTGAGGGCTCACACTGAGGATAACTTGAGCCACTTGAGGCTGAGGAATGCCCTTAATCATTAGAGGCATCCAAGTACTGAGCCCCTGTACCCCAAAACCCCCCCCTCCCCCACAGCCCTGCAACCTACGAAGCATGAAGAAGGCCCTAAACTCCCCAGGCCTATACGCCTTAACCCTGAAAACTACTAATTCAGATTCGGGTTTTGGGAGCCATTCGAGTAGAATTATATATGTATATATAGGGACCCTAACAGAGTACGATGAGTGACGATGCCGGCCAGTACATTAAGCAAGCAGGCGCCGGGTTGTGGAAGGGCCACCGGATCGCAAGGGGAAGGGAAAACCGGGAGTGTCAAAGTCCCACATGGGGCAAGCTTCCGATAGATCATCCATCTCTTCCACAGGTTTAAGGGGTTTGCGACCCCTTAGAATAAGATAAGGCCCCCAAGAAAGTGCCCTTTTTGCACCTATAGGGGTTTCGAAAAAATATGGGCACCCTTTTTTTGGGGGGGGGGGGTCCCTTAGAAAGGGGATTCGACTCTATTTTGGGGTATCAAAAGGGGTACCCCCTATTTGGGAAAGTGCCCGTCACCCGTCTATATCGGCCTGCAAAGGTTCCCACGGAACACGCCACTACGAGCGGAGTAAACTGCTTGCCGTCCACCACGAACTCCAAGACCTTCCATCGGATGTCAGACAACCAGAGCTCTGGTAGCTTTAGGGTTTAGGGTTTAGGGTTTAGGGTTTAGGGTTTAGGGTTTAGGGTTTAGGGTTTAGGGTTATGCACTCAGGAATCGAACCATCCCTAAACCTTTTACCCAAAACCCAAAACCCAAAACCCAAAACCCAAAACCCAAAACCCTAAACCCTAAACCCTAAACCCCAACCCTAAACCCTAAGCCCTAGCAACCCTTTCTCACGGAACCGACCTCGACATAATGAACGACACACCTCCAGATTCCGAGCACAACATCTGCCATGCCATGATCACAGAGCCTGTACGAACGGGCCCGTCAGAGCTGTGGCAACCTGAGATGTTGCAAAAGAGAACCTCCATTTGTGTGTGACTCCCCCTGAAAGGGGCCCTTATACCCCAAGATCCTTATGTTTGTGTGGCTTCGGGGCCCCTAAGTGTAGGTTGTCTTGTTGTCTTACTCAACAAACTTTGCAGCATACGGAACGAAACGACGTCATCTGGGGGTCTCGAAAGCTGGGCGAAAGCAAGCATCTTTGGGAGCCAATAACTGCAAGGCAGGAACGAAATAAGATACTGCTTGTGTAGCTAGCCCCCCCCCCCCCTTACCCCCTTCCCCCCCTCCGCCCTCCTCGCCCCCCCTCCACCCCTCCTCCCCCCCCCCCCCCCCTCCGCCCCCCCCTCTCCCCCCCCCCCTCCCCATTCAAAGCTCTCGGTGAGAAACGTTTCGGTCAAAACATTATTGGGACTCAAACCCCTGTACAAACCCTACACCCACCATCCCAAACGTCGTAGGATCTCACTTGCACTGAGCTTCGCGCGGCGCAAGTAGAGGCCGAGGTTTTCTCGAGGCCCTCAGATTCAGCGCAGGCCCAAACTGGAACTGAGGCAGATGTGCGCAGACTGAGCTCAGGGCTAAAATCTGCAGGGCATAACCTCAGCCGATCCCACAACCGCATACCTAGGACTCAATAAAAGGGGGGGGGCATCGATTGTCGTAACACCACCTAAAGAAGAGAAAAGGTTTGGGTTCGTAAGGTGTGCAATTCAGCAACCGGAGGAGAAGTGACGAAGAGAGGGAAGCGCGAGTTTCGTTCAGCCGTTGTAGGGTCCTTGAGGGAGGGAGGTGACGGGGGCGTATGTGGCCCAAGGTTCTCCCCAATACTCCCCACTACTCCCTAAGGCTCCCTAAGCTTCCCGAAGTTTCCGGAGGTACCCACCCGAAACCCTAAACCCTAAAACCCTAAACCCCCCATCGCTTAAGAGCCCTACAAAAGCCAAGGAGCCGAAGAAGAGCCAGAAGGCCAGCTCTACAGACGGTATCGCCAAACTCCGGACCTCTTGAGCAGCCAAGCAGGCCGGGCTCCAATACCTAAACCCCAAACCCCAAACCCCAAACCCCAAACCCCAAACCCCAAACCCCAAACCCTAAACCCTAAGCCCTAAGCCCTAAGCCCTAAGCCCTAAACCCTACTCATGGGCTTCCCTACTACTACCCCCCTCTATTCTCTACCCACCCCTAGGTTCCCCCCTCATATCACCTTAATAAGGCTTAATGATCCCTAAATAGCCTTTGAAACGGGGGAACGAAGGGGGGGGGGGGGGGGTAGTAGGGGAACCCATGAGAATGCGCATCCTCTTGCTCTGCGCCTGCTTGAAGTTGAAAGTGAAGAAGGGCAATGACACCACCTGACCAGTGAAGATTCTGTGCGCGGACGACCCCAAACCCTACATAAACCCTTTAAACTATATGAACCCTTCACACCCTATCAACCTTCATACACCTCCCTAAACCTTATAAACGCTAAACAAACCCTGCCAGCCCTTCAAGCCTAAACGCCCTATCTTTACGCCCTGCAGACCCTAAACCCCCTGAACCCTATAAAAACGGTGAACCTTGTAAACCCCCTCAACCCGAAACCTCCTCAAACCCAAAACCCCCTAAAACCCAAAACCCCCCAAAGCCCTAAACCCGTTCAACCCTAAACCCTATCAACCGCCTCAACCCTAAACCCTCGAAACCTTGAACCGTATATGATAAATACTAAACCCTGCATGGGACTCTATTCTATTTGCCGACAGTTTAGTCGCAACTACCCTCAACTAGTAGGTATAAAAAGTGGGTAAAGAGGGTCCCAGGTAAACCCTATATAAACCCTAAACTCTAAACCCTAGACCCTAGACCCTAAAACCCCACAAACTCCCTGAAAGCCCCCGGCCGCGGCGGAAATGAAGCGCAGCGCCAGGAGCTCAGGGGCCGTAAGGTCCATGGGAGCCTCACACATGTGCGCGATTAGGCAGGGTTTAGGGTTTAGGGTTTAGGGTTTAGGGTTTAGGGTTTAGGGTTTAGGGTTTAGGGTTTAGGGTTTAGGGTTTAGGGTTTAGGGTTAGGGTTTAGGGTTACACCCATGGGGCTCTTCCTCATCTAGGGTTTAGGGTTGTAGGGTGGTCGGGTCTATGGCTTAGGGCTCGGGGTTTAGGGTTTTAGGGTTATAGGGTTTAGAGCTTAGGGTTTAGGTCTTAGGGTATTAGGGTTTAGGCTTAGTTGCTGAGTTCATGAGCCCCAAAAAAGTGGACACTTTCAGTTTTGTAGGGGGTTAGAGTATCCCGAAGAATGTAAAGTGTACTCACTCAGCTACTAAGTAGGGCTTAGCTGGGGTTTAGGGTTTAGGGTTTATAGGGTTTAGGGTTTAGGATTTAAGGTTTAGGGAGGAACTAGAAGCACATGACCGATTCCGCCCTGGCAGGTGAACCGTGCCTCGAGCTCCACCCTGGCCAGTCAAAGGACAGAACATGTACCCTAAACCCTAAGCCCTAAACCCTAAACCCTAAACCCTAAAACCCTAATGCTATGCATCCGAGCAACTCCTCTCGTCGGGGGCCCTCCAGGGAGACCAATGGACCAAGTATGCGAACGGATTCGAAGGGTTTCTAGGGTTTAGGGTTTAGGGTTTATAAGGTTTAGGGTTTAGGGTTTAGGGCTTAGGGTTCATAAGGTTTAGGGTTTAGGGTTTAGGGTCCCAACTTAAGTGCAAATTGTCGCCGCCCTGACAAATCCATGGCAGGGGTGCGTCTTGAGGAGCGGAACGTTGCCACCTCGGTGAATCCACTAATGCTCGCCTGGAAAATGTCGGGCGGGCCACCCAAAAATCAAGGACGCTCTACTGTGATGGTCCCTTTGAAGGGTTCGTGAAATACTTCGGAGCCTCACCCTAAACCCTAAACCCTAAACCCTAAACCCAAAAGGGGCCCCTGTGCAGGGCATCCCGCATCTTTCTTCGACTCTTGAATTCAGACCATAACATGACTAGCACCTTACTTGATAGGCTTAGAATGAGATGTAATGTTAGGCGAAGACTCTCCATGCCTCTCCACACTGCAGGGTACACCTATTTTCGTATACTTCCCCAGGTAGGCTCAGGATGAGATCTCATCTTAGGAGTCTCTCCATGCCTCTTTACGCTGCAACTCTGCGGCTCTTGCAACAGGCCATGTCTGTCATGATCTCGGGCCGGATGATTTTTCGAAGCGCCCCAAGAGCACAGTACCCGAAACCCTAAACCCTAAACCCTAAACCCTAAATCCTAAACCCTAAGCCCTAAACCCTAAACCCTAATGAGCTCGGGCGCGGGCCGTAGAGGATGGCCATAAGAACCAGGATGGCAGGGGCCGTCACCTCCGCTTCTTGGCGCGGCTTCGGCAACAAGTTGTGGTGCTTCGCCGCAGGGCATCTGCGTGGGATGGGAAACTAAGCCAGCTGAAGCAAATTCAGGTGCTTTCGAGTCCAAACGCTAGCCCAACTTGCGAAACACGAAGAACTGCCCCCTATAGGTTTGAGCTGCATGCTGCTTGACGACAGCAGAAAGCTGAAGACCCAGCGAAGAAGATGCCGAGTGTGCACTTCCTGCATCTCCCAATCCCCTTAAAGTATGCCTCGTTCACGAGGCCAGACTCCGAGTCCGGAGGCGGCTTGCCGGCGATGCCTGCGCTTCGCCTCGTGCATGTGGCGGACTGAGAGGGAGAGGGAAAGGAGGGAGGTGGAGGGCCAGTGGAGGGGTGTGAGGGAGGTGGGACGGGGAGAAAGCAGCCGTGAAAGCGACATGAACACAAGGGCAACATCCATCGATCATCTATCCAACGACGTTCTCATACTCAGTGAAGTCTTAGTGGCATCTCGATGTGCACTGCATTCCAGACAAGAGTGACAGGAGATTCACAGGCCTCGCCACTGCAGTGCCTCTGAGATGTGAGCCTCTGCCAGTGCCACAGGCAACAGTCCCCCTTGCGTAGAACATGTGGGCATGCGCGGAGCCTATGCAATCTGGTACAAGCACACTCGATGGCTGCTGGTTCAGCTACGGCAGAGGAGCACAGTCATAACCCTCTAAACCCTAAACCCTATAAACCCTATAAACCCTAAATACCCTAAATACCCTAAATACCCTAAATACCCTAAATACCCTAAATACCCTAAATACCCTAAATACCCTAAATACCCTAAATACCCTAAACCAGGGCGCGGGCGCTTGGAAAGAAGCACGCGAAGGCCGGCAGCCGCGGCCAGGCAGCCACGAAAACCGTGGGAACGTCCGCCATCTTGCACGGTCGAACCAGGCCTCGTTCTCAGCCGATATTGGGTTTAGGGTTTAGGGTTTAGGGTTTAGGGTTTAGGGTTTAGGGTTTGGGGTTTAGGGTTTAGGGTTTAGGGTTAGGGTTTCGGGTTTAGAGTTTAGGGTTTAGGGTTCAGGGTTCGGGTAATTTCAGAGCTAGGGGGGGAGCTTGGTCTGGCGGCGTGTCATGAAGACAAAGGCACCGAAATTCGGGCTTTGGCGCGGCTCACAGGGTTTAGGGTTTAGGGTTTAGGGTGTAGGGTTTAGGGTTTAGGGTTTAGGGTTTAGGGTTTAGGGTTTAGGGTTTAGGGTGGGACAGATGTCTGAAGAGAATTCAGGCAGGAAGGGTGCTCTAATTGCTGGGTCAACCAGGTGAAACTGCGCAGCTCTCTCAGAACCATCACTGTACAACTACTGTACTTGGTAAAGCTTCCCCGCCCCCCCCCCCCCCCCCCCCCCAACACAAAGAAGAAATGCGAAAGCGCAAGTTAAGAGGGTTTAGGGTTTAGGGTTTAGGCTCAGGCTTCGAAAAGCCAGGCCTCAAAGGCAAGACCGCGACATGGGCGGTGAGCTGGCCTGCTGGGCCTTTGCCAGGATGGAAAGTTTCTTGGTTGGAGAAGCACCAAACTTTACGCGAATTCATGCAAGGTTTAGGGTTTAGGGTTTAGGGTTCAGGGTTCAGGGTTCAGGGTTCAGGGTTCAGGGTTTAGGGTTTAGGGTTTAGGGCACATTTGTCAACATGCTGTACCTGCTGGTTTTGAAGAGAGCCATGCTGTAGACGGGTATATCTGTACTTCTGGCGCAGGAGCAGCATGTGGTGCAACAGAATAGTTACACTTATACACTAACCCTAAACCCTAAACCCTAAACCCTAAACCCTAAAGCCCTAGTTGCAATGTTGGCAACGTGCAAGGTGACCTACATCGCGCATGGAACAATCACAGGTAAGCAAGGAGCAGCTAGCACTGATTCTGCTCGTGGCCATAGATGTCAGCCAGGGTGAGCCTTGAAACCCTTTGAAAAAAGATTCCTGAGTATGATCCTCTTAAGCCCCAACAAAGGAAAATAGAAAATGTCACAAGGACCTATGCCTAGTAAGTTTTTTGCCGAAGTGATGATGTTCGGTGGTCGCAGTGGCCCGTTCACTTTTGAGGAGCCTCGCCACCTTCAACGTGTAGAGATCAGCATCGGGGACACAGTTGAAGTGCCACACAGAGCTTTGTACTAGTTGTCGCAACCTCCCCCCATGAAAAAGAAGCTGTTGGAAAAAATATGTAAGCACATGTTTTACTTCTGTACAACTATACAATTATAAGGAAATACATAGAGGAACACACTGACGCAGAAATACTTGGCAGGGGCTGCGCCTAGTTGTGGCCGAGGCAGTCTTTGGCCGCGCGCCAGAACAGGGACTGGATCCATCGCTCACCCTAAACCCTAAACCCTAAAAACCCCTAAACCCTAAACCCTAAACCTTGGCAATCTTCAACTTCCCCAAAGTTCACTCCAAGATTACTGTGAGAAGCATCGAAGAACCCAAGAGCTGCTCCAGGAACGGATCGGTTCTCTTGCTTAGCTGGTGCCCCTAAACCCTAAACCCTAAACCCTAAACCCTACACCCTAAACCCTAAACCCTAAAACCCTAAACCCTAAACCCTAAACCCAAGGTGAGGTGTGTGCGTGTGTTGAACGTCGTCATGCCGAAGCAAGATGGAAGATTGACGAAGTGCAAGCTTTTGAGGAGGAGGAGCGGGCACAGGGCTTCTTTTGCTCGTCTGGACTGTCAACTGTAGACGCAGGCTCACCTTCCGCACCAGACGATCGTGCAGAGAACTCATGAGGGCCTTTTTTTGCTCCGAACGCAAGCAGAGCCACGCGGAGCATCTCAAGCGATGCTCTCAGAAGCCTGGTGCTGCTGTCTGCTCCTCCTCCTTCAATGGCAAAAACAGCAGATTTCTTTTCATGAGTCATCCCAATTGCAGAGCTATCTGGGTGGTCGTCAACATGATGATCCCTTTTGGGGTACCCGATCCAAAGAGGAAGAGGCACCTTAACTCTGACAAACCACCCATATAGCAAGCCCTAAGGGTCCATGTACCTCATCATTGTGTACTTGGGGCCCAAAAGTCCCTAAATAGGAGGTACTTGAAGCCCCAAGTATTCCCTATTTAGGTACATGGACCCTTATAGCAAGGGCAAGGGCAAGGCAGGCCTCCATGCCAACGTCGTGGTGCGCAAGCTCCCTCAGAGCAACATGGGTCTTCAGCGACTACAAGTTGCTGCTGCTCGCGTTGTCCGCCTTTTTCCCGCATCTGGGGCTTCTTTAGCGTTCTCAAAAAAAGCGTTCAGGAAACCCTATTATGGTATTTTTTAGCGTTAAAATGCCCTGAATGCGTTGGTCCAGCACTGAGGCTTGCACTCCAGCTGAGCGTCAAAGGCCTCTTCTCAACGCTTGCCAGCTCTCAGCCAAGACCAGAAGATCGAGCATGCCCGTACACATGCACACACACACATGCGCCCACTGGCTCACTTCACTCGATACAGACCATCCCATTGCCGCCTCCAGTCGCATCGCCAAGTCGCGGATAACACCGCGAAGCTGCTGTCTCACTCGGCGTTCCTTCGAGTTACGGGAGTTTGCGAATTTAGGGGGTGACAAGAAAAAATGACCCCCAAACAGCAGGATCCCTTTACAATATGGACCCCCCAATAAGGTACCCCTACTGTGGGAAAGCCCCATATGGCAAAGATGCAGTGACTCCGATGCTTCCATGAGCTCTTTGGGAACTCCAAGAGCATTCCAGAAGAACCCTAAACCCTGAACTCTGAACCCTAAAGCCGAAACCCTAAACCTTAAAGCCTAAACCCGAAACCCTAAACCCTCAGCCTTAGCTCTAAGATGTACCTATAAGAACGCAAGATGCAAAACCAGGACTGGGCGCCTGCTTGAGCTCAGAGGCGGCACAGCGAAGAGCCCCCGAAGCTTGAAGGAGCTGCTCCTCGCATTCCTCAGAGGGCTTGGGCGCACTAGGGTTTAGGGTTTAGGGTTTAGGGTTTAGGGTTTAGGGCTTCGGGCTTAGGGCTGAGGGACACTGAGTTCATAGGTGTAGGGATTTTTGCTTTATAGTTAGGGTTTGGGGCTGAGGAATGTACAGGGTGGTTTCTAGGGTTTAGGGCTCCGGGGCAAGGGTGACGGTATGTTGAGCAAGGTTCCCGGGTGTTGCAGCAAGCTGCTAGGAGCCACGGTTTAGGGTTTAGGGTTTAGGGTTTAGGATTTAGGGTTTAGGGTTTAGGGTTTAGTCTCGAATGTGCCAAAACAAAGTCTTGACAAGCACTGAACCACAGGAATGCTTTCCGAAGCCCTGCTGCAGAGCTATCGCAAGCGTTCGGCAACAGACGCAGAGGTGGTAGAATCGAAGCTTGAGCATGATTTAGCAGAGTTCAACGGAACCAGATGCACCCACAGCTTGTCCAAGCATGTGCTACATCATGTACTATGTCGCAAAACAGTACCGCCCGAACACATGTCGCCACATCAGGTCGAGCCAAGCAGCCTTTTGCGCCTGGCTGACGCCCAGCCAGACCTGCCAGGTGATCCAACGGCAAAGTAAGAAGCACCAGGAAGTGCTGCGCGCGCACGCACGCACGTGCAAAAAACGAAAAGCAGAACAATATCGAGACGAAATCATCAATGCCCAATAACCTTTGCAGGAAGCCATATGTCGTGTCTTCGCAAGTATTCATGATATTAAGAGCCATAATCGCCAAAAAACCATAGCAATAAGTTTCTGCTTTTCGCCAGAGCTACACTGAGCTACAAAAGTCGTGGATTTTCTGCTTTGCCGGATGGCCCGCCCTTTGCACCCTTCTGCCCTCCCCTGGCTTCCGATGCCTTCTGAAGAGGGCTTATAAAGGGGAGATCCGCATCATCTGCTCTGATGTAGATTATGATCTTGACATGGTGTCACAATGTTTGTCCCGTTGACTTATGAATGCACACAACGTTGTGGATTACTTGTGGTTTCAGCCAGTTTCAGCTTGAGAACAGGATGGCGTCAGACTTCTTGGCATTGCCCAGAACTCAGGGGGAGCCCGGTCATTCTCCAAAAAGATGAATGTTGAATAATCGTCTGTGCAAGGACTCCCAAAAGGCACCCCTAAACTTGGGATTCACCCATGTGGGAGCATTCCCCAATGCTTCATCGGGACTGGTGTCTTTGTTCGCTTTCCTACCGCAAACAAGATGCGGCTTGCCACACAGGCAGCAGGGAGAGCGAGAAAGAGAAAGAGAGAGAGAAAGAGAGCTCTCATAGATATATGGATAGACTGATATGTAATGATGAGACGAACAGATGATTGGACAGATATGCGTCGAAGACAAATCGTCGTCACAAGCGCCCTTCCTCCACCTCCTCGTGTCGCGAGAACCCTAAACCCTAAACCCTAAACCCTAAACCCTAAACCCTAAACCCTAAACCCAGTTCGGGCCCGGGGAGCGACAGCGAGATCTGTCGAGCTTCTGTGGCGTGGAAAGAGCGGCAGTGCGACATATAGCGGGGCAAGCTGCTACGAATCCTCTGGGTCAACATGTCGGTTTAGGGTTTAGGGTTTGGGGTTTAGGGGTCAACATGTCGGTTTAGGGTTTAGGTTTTGGGGTTTAGGGACTGTTACTGTGCGACATGGTTGACAGAAACATGCTTTGAATGTCCGCGAGGTGGCACTTGACAGAACTTCCAAAAACTTTGCATGGCGCAGGGGACTTAAGAAAGAGTCCACAATGCGAAGATCTGTTCAACAACTCTTCCCTTGTGTTCTGTATAAACAAAAATGGAACATGTTTTTAGGGTTTAAGTGAGGGTGCTTAGGGAACCAGGAAGAGGTACGCAGAAGGGGAACAAAGCAACACCCGGGGCTTCAAAATGCCCCGAGAGAGCAGTTGCCTTGAGCCCGTCGCAGAGTTGAGGAAGAGGCTGCATTGGCCTCACAGAATTCTGCTACATTCTGGTGAATTGTCACAGCACATCATCAGCATATTATGGTAATGCCGTATTATATGTTGTGTTGTAAGATGCTAGATTTTCATCATGTCTGCATAGTGGGTCTTGCGACAGTTATTCTTAGAAGGCCTTCCGGCTAAGTGCAGGTGCTGTCAGCGATGTCGAAAGGATGTCAAAGGTCTTTCAACCCTCCATTCTGAAGGGTTCAGGTTTAGGGTTTCGGGTTGAGTGCCTAAACCCTAAACCCTAAAGCCTAAACCGCCCCGTAGATTGAGATACCCCAAACCTTCGGACAAAACATGGCAACCTCCTTTTGGGAGGTCTCCCGGGCTCGTCGTGTTTCCTGGACCAGAGGCTCCCAGACCCGGTTCAGGCAGAAGGCGGCGCATCAATTTCCCTGAACAAGTACGAGGCCTCATCTGGGTCTGCCTGGGAGGCCCCTGCCTGGGAGGCCCCTGCCTGGGAGGCCCCTGCCTTTCGGGAGGCCCTGGGAGGACCCTGCCTGGCCCCCTGTTTGGGAGGCAGGTTTCTGGAAGGCTGGGCTGTGAGGCTGCTTAAAAGGCCCCTGATGGGAGGCCCCTGTCTGGGAGGCCCGCTGCCTGGGAGGCCTGTCTGAAAGGTTGAGACCCCTGCCCAGCCCCTGCCTGGCAGGCACCTGCCTTCGGAGGCCCCAGGGCTGCAGAAACTTTTTGCTTGAAGCTTTCAAGCAAGGGATCCAGATCCCCAACCAGGACACAGCATCATTAAGGGCGAATGCGGCAGCCAGCCCCAAGCCCAAACCTCCCCTGCCTGGGACTGGGAGGATCTCCTAATGCGGCAGTCAGCCCAAGCCCAAACTTTCGGGTTTGAGAAAGACTCACTGGGAGGCCCCCCTGCCTGGGAGGCCCCCTGCCTGGGACAGCCAACCCCAAGCCCAAACCTCTGACTTTTGGCTCTCCCAGCAGCCCTCGACTGATAGACATCTCCCTTGCAATGCCTAGGGGCTACGAACTTCAGGGTACTCGATCTGCATCGATGCCGAGCTTCAGCCCAATAGACAAGAGAAAAATAACAAAAGCACGATCAGAGTCCAAAAGAACCCTAAACCCGTAGAGGTTAAGGCGAGGGTGGAGCGCCAGCGGGGGGTGGGCTTATGCAAATCGGGGCGCGCGCCTGGGTGCTTTCAGCACCGGCGCGCCCACTCATTGAAACACCCTAAACCCTAAACCCCAAACCCTAAACCCTAAGCAGCCCTGTCGCTACCTGCCTCTTTGGCGCGGTCTCTGCCGCAGCTGCGTGAGCAGACAGCGCCTCCACGAATAGACCCATGAAGGCAGGCCACTTGCGTGCAACTGCGAGGATCCTACATGAACATATTGGTTTAGGGTTTGTAGGGTTGTAGGGTTATAGGGTTATAGGGTTTGGGGTTTAGGGTTTAGGGTTTAG